AATTTTGAAATGTTTCTCTTGTCAAACACTCTGCAGTAATAGACGCGCTAATGATTTCTTTCTCTGAAATGAAAAAAAAAGAACTGAAAAGAGGACTTTCATAGAATAATAATAGTTCATATACAGTTTAGATAATTAATGAAAGTGAATCATAAGTACTGATTCTTGAATTTTCTCTGCTTCCTATATTCGCTAAGTTTCGGCGACTCGTAAATGAAGCATTGATCAAGCAAAATATATCCTTTTTATTTTGATCAAATTTCAATACCTTTGGAAATAATCGTTCGAGTACTGAAAATTAAGGACTAATTAACCCACTGACAAGCGCCTTCTTACTCGGAATATGGAAATTGAAGAGCTCTAAATAGAATTTCGATGCCATTGCGACACTAAAATTCAACTCTCAAAATTCTTATCGAATAGTCTGTTAGGAATCGAGTGAAAGGTTTAGTTTATATAAATTGCTCTTCTAAGTCAAAGTCGTATTTTAAATTGAAAATGGTGATCGAAGAATAAAAAAATCGAAATAATGCTTAATAAATATCAGAAATATTGGATTACACTCATTTCATAAAGATTCTCAGAGCACTTGTTTTGTGTTTGAGAATCGTAGAAAGCGTTCACTCTCACTTTGTTGTTGAATTTGTGTCGAGTGCTACCGTGTACTACATTTCTGAATATAATCAATTTTAAACATTCAAATTAGAGCGATTTGTCTGAAAAGAATACAGTATACATTAAAAATTTTTCTCTCCTATTATATAGAATCGATTGTGTAGATTTGTCTTGTATACAGTAAACACTAGGTTCTTTAACAAATAATATCTCATTAACTTCATCACTTTCGATTTCAACGCAGGTCATGAACCGAAAACAATAGTTTGGCAGAAACATACGTTTGTTGTCAATTGATGAAACATGAAGTCATAGATGAGTGTTAAGAAGTTCTTTACTGTTCACATCCCTCAACTTATCCATATATGATTTTATGATATGAATGTCTTCATGATATCAAATCTGATAAGTCAATAATGAAGAAAGTCTTGGCTTCGTCTTCATATATATAGATGCTCACAACGAATTATATACGAGTGTGAATGTGAGCTAAAAGAATATACTTGTACATCTACACCTTCACCCCCAAATTCCTACCCTTTATACTTCAACACTGCTTTCAGATCGTGCTTCACAAAACAACTATAAAAACCAAGTATGAGCCACCATTAAGTTCGATAAGAACAATTTCTGTTGCATAGCATCTTTACTTTAGCAAACTAATTTATTAGTACACACTGTAAGATCTTATTTAATTACAACTATTGATATAGTCTGTTATGCAGCTGAAAAAAGTCTCACATTTTAATAGGTGTTCTTCTAATTTCGTCATGTTTGATTTCCATCATTTCTAACAAATCTATCAATGCTGTTCTCTACAAAATGCTTCTAACTTTCGTTATGTACTGTTATCACTTGTAACTAATATGATCTTTCGCATTCTATTATGGTCGCGATGTCATCATATATATTCATTCCATCTATATCTTCTTTTGTTCTGTTGTCATGCAAGAATTCAAATATATTCTTCTTGCTAGTATATATTCATGTACGCTCGTTCTTATTCTGTAGGAATCATGCATGTTCTCTCTAATACTTTCCAATGAGTTCTTGAGTTTCTACTACCGTCTGATAAATTCCTTCCAGTTTCGCAACCTCGTATATAAATGGCGATTTTTTGCAACAATAAACTCGGTCCATGTATTCGACAAAATACAATCTCTCTTCCGATAAGAACTGGTCAGCGATAGATAGTCTTTACAATTTCCTTCTAATCACACCTATTAGACAGTTTTTCAGCTTACCATTTGTTAGAATTGAATTTCTACTCAATCGGTGTATGACAGTGACAAACAATGGTACGCTAAATTTTAAGACAGTGATCAAACCTCCAAGAACCCCAAACACTGCAGTAACAATGTAAACGATATCGTTCCTAATGTCAACATCATATGTACATTGTAGTGGGTGACATTCTTCATAGTAACTTTCAAATACGATAGATGAATTCCATTGTTCAATCATTAAATTATTGACGATTTGTTCAATTGTTGTACTTGTTTCATAATTATAAAGTAACGATGCATTAAGAGCTGTCACATTCATTACGATTTGTGATTCGTAATGACTCTGTAATTCATCTAAGCATTGTTTATCATAAAAACATTGAAGATTAGAATGAAAAAGAGATTCAAATAAATAACATCCAGCATAGAAACCAGGAACGACAAATGAAATGGCGTAACTCGAACTATTGTAAATTAATGCAGGTGAAAAGCATGAAGTATTGGTAGAACATTGACAATTTGAGTACGAATTTGAAAACACATTAATGTATGGTGATTGCGACACTCTAAAAAAGTGATAATTTGTTTGGAGCCCAGAAATTAAAGTATTTGTTTGTGTTGTTTCGCGAATCATTTGCAGAGATATGATAAACCGCTTTGTTGTAGATGATAGGAATTGATTAGTGAACGATTGAATTTCTCTTCGAAATAAACCTGAATCCACTACATATGCACTTACATAATCATTTGCGTAGAAACGATCCAAGTTCTCCATAATGGTTTCGTTTACCAGTTGGCAAAGAGCTCGCAATACTGGAAATCCAGTACGACTTAAGGCTCGAAAATCATCATCATACATACCACCAGAAAAACTAAAATATCGTGAAAAGTTCATCCAGTGATCAGTGACAAAATCACTTGTACAAAATTGATGAAATGTAAAATTAATTTGAAGGAAAGTTTCGTATTTGATCGATAATTTGCTACATGGACATGCTAATGTGCTCGAATATTTTGAGTAGAGTTTTGAGTATTGTGCAATGGTTGGGTTTTTAGTAGTGATAATTTTGTTAATCACAATTAAAGAATTGTAGAGGAGCAGAATCAGCAATGATACAACCAACAGAATGATAAATAATATCGTTGATATTCTTTCCTGTCGGCGCTTAGATGGATCACTCGTAGGAGGGTTAGATGAGAAAAGATTGAGATCTTGAAGGAATCGCTTCAATAAAGTCCACAAATTGCGAACTTTTTCAATGTTTACCATAACTGGCACTAAATAAACCAACTATAGTTTTTAATATTTGTCTATTGCACGCTCCAAGAATGTGATACACTCAAGGACCAGCGCGTTCTTCTTCTGAATTTATGGCTATTTTACAGAGTTTTGTCGCGTGTTAGGCATCCAAATCCATCCGCACCCTGCCTATATTTTACAGAAGGGCCGAGAAAAAAAATGTTTTAGTGTAGTCATTGTCTCCGTAAGAGAAAATTCACTTGCGTTAGAACTTTCATAGTATTGTAACGATTTCGAAACTCATACATAGAAAGTATCTCAAATCGAAAGTACGCCATTTCATTTTTTTTCAGGAAATACCTAATACGAGGCAAAACTCAGTAAAACGATTATAACGTCGGAAAGAAAGCGTATGGAACATTATAATTTTTGATATGCTCTATTTCCACCTGGTCTTACCTACAAGCAAAAAATTTGATCAAAAGCTTTGAATCTCTTTGCTTTGTTTCCTCGTAAGATCACTATCCTATTATACTCTGCAACCATTACTTCATCTGGGAGGAAGTATTAGAATATAATCACAGATTAAGAAATTCATGTTTATTATGCTTTTGTTATCATAATATGACGTACATGTAGGTATTTTCTTTATGCTAGCACTAACAACCAGATCTATATTAACATAATAAACATAAAACTAGTTTATTTTCTTTGACTGGTGAGACTTTTCGATATTTTCTGGCACCACTACTATTTCAAATTGTCACATTCGATCTTTATGATTTCGACAACAGCTTTTTCGACATTATCATTTTTGATGTTTGCCTACTCGGCATCTAGTCACCTAATCACAGGTGTGATGCCAAGTATGTTTATCTTATCTAGAGCAATCTAGATATCCTAGTGCTCGAACAACTATTGCAGTTCTATTAAAAGCGACAGTTTGTGATTGATCAAAACGGATGTACCAAATGAAGTTAACTGTCCCTTGCTGCGGTGTTATTAGGTCAGACATGAAGAACATGTCAAAAGATCTTATTTGATGATTCTATTATACTATCTCTATGTGTTATTATTCTTTTTCCTCCGTTTAAAAGTTTGTATGTTGCCTTAAATGAATGTAGAAAAGCTTCTTCCACTTTCTACTAAAGAAAATATATGAAATAAATACTTGACCTTATACGATTTTCTAAGAAAGTATATAGATCACTTTCCAAAAATTAATAATGAATTTTTCGAATACTATGTGAGTTTCCGGAACCCAAATTGTACTTTAGAAAACAAAAAAATACTACCAGCCAATCCAGATATGACGAATCAAATGTAAAACTGTAAGCTAGCACATATAGAAGCAATCTCTCTCGATGACAGTGCCACGGAGTTCTAACACTGCAATCTGCACACAATCAGAGGGAAGTTTGTCTGGTGTGTGTACCAAAGAATCTGTGCAGCTGATGAATCATTAACTGTTGTAACTCCATCAGGACTTGACATGGATTACTTTTCTATGGCACGGTCCCGCCAGAGCCCAAAGAAACTGTTTTAACAAATATTTTCTTCAGAACTGATCTCGGAGATTTATACCGTACGTCGAAAGAAATGTTTACAAGACAATAGATTAGAGGTACCGACTTAGAATTAGCATTGCTTTAATGAATGCTATTTTTGATACTTTTCTATTAGAACTAACAAAACTATTTAATGATTTTCTAGTAGTATTAAAAAAATAATTTTCCTAATGTTGGCCTATTCTAATATCGACATATGTCATGTACTCAAATAACAATACGAAGTTGCACAAATGTCTATGATGGCAGATTCCCAACGAATTTTTCCAACATCACTGTTTTCAGACAGACAAACTTTGTATTCGCTCATATATAAAAACTCGTTGGTTATTACGTCTAACTGCTACATAAATGCATGATGAATTAACTGCTGCTTATGGACAAGGTGTTGTTTCATGTAGTACAGTTGCTTATTGGATTCATCGATTTTCAAGTGAACGGGAGTTGTTAGACGGTGATCCTCGAAATGGTCGTCCGTTATCTGTCATTAATCAACAAAATATTGAGGTGGTCCAAGATCTGGCGAATGATGATCCATATATTAGTATTAATTATATTGCTACCATCTTAGACACAGCTATCTCATAACCTATTGTGATGAATACTTGAAGATATTAGTTAAAAATTTACATAAGAGGAAAACATCATCAACAGAAAACAGCATAAATTTGTATTAAAAAAATGCAACATTTTAAATGGAAGATATTCTTCACAATTTTAATTATTTTCAAGAGGAAAAAGTCTAAGTTATGGTTCACCCACCATGTACCACTAGCTTTGTTCTTTATGACCTTTGGTTGTTCAGTTGTCTGAAACGCAGCCTTGGTACATATCTAGATGCTACAAGTTTAGCGAAAGCGTTATCAAAAGAGCTCAATTCAACATCTATTCAAAAATATCAAAAGACATTCTAGAAGTGGATTGAAAGGATGAAACTTTGTATTGAACATAGTGGGGACTACTTCGAACATTTACTGTAAAAAGATTAGCAAAATGTTTTTTCTATGAATAAATATTTGACAGTCCGAGAACTTATTGGCTAACCTATGTAATACTTTTTTATTAGCTTTCAACTAAAATTGGTATTAAAATATCACTATTTAATACTAATGCTCATGAAAAATGTATTAAATAATGCCAATTTAATGATAATTTTGAATTAAATGCTAATACAAAAGTATTAAATTATTTTTTAAATTCTAGAACAAAAGCATTAAATTATATTTTGAACTCTTATACGAAAGTATCGGCATTTTTTTTAACATTGCTGCTAATCTGACACCCTGCCGTAGATATATATTGATGAATGTAATGACATCGGATCATTGTAGAGATAACAAAAAAGATATAACCAATACCAGACAAGTAAAGAACTGGTAAAAAGACTAGTCGTTTTTCTAGTCTTGACGGGATGTCTTGTCTGTTTCTCCAAACCGACTGATATGCTACTAGTCTGGAATCAGTTTTAGTCCATGCAGCACGTCATGACTGCTTTACTGATTGGCGTCTTTCCATTTGACATGACTAGTCTTTTTCTCAAAATAAACTAGACGTGTTGTACTGTCATGTCGCTCGTCTAAAAAGACATGAAATAGAAAAAATCAGAGCGTCCTCGACGCTGCATACGACGAATTGTAGCCTTATGCATCGGTCGAGTTTGAACTAGTCTAAATGATAGAACGATACGGATGAAGGTTAGATTTGAACATGTATACAATATATCACTTATCCACAGTTTAGCCGATTGAACTATACGATCAAGTCATCAACTTCTACATACCAAAAAGCATCTTGACATGCTATTTAATAGAATTTTACTCATAATGTCTTTAGTTGCTGATATGAATAAAATATTACTATCACGGAATGAAGATTAGTTAGAGTAAGTTCAATAGAATAAATTTAGAATCTTTTTATTTTTTTAAACAAGTTTTTCCCGATTGCTACAAGAAATGCACGTAATCAGTTTTCATTAAAGAAACTTGTTCTTATGAAATGAAAAAATTAATTAAAAATAGCTAAAAATTAACAAAAATATTTTTTTATATTATAGCTCAAGTTTATCTTTGATTTCCATTTTCGCAATCGAAATTTGAAAATAAGCTAAATTTTTACTTAGCAAAGAATCAGTTTAAAATAAAGTAAAATGTTGATACAAAATCTTTCAAGCATTTAAACTAAATTATTTCTTATTTATTTAACATCTCTTAATCAATTGTAGGAGATATAGATTGGTAGATCTCCTCTAGAACTAAATATCGTACTCTGTATTTTCATGCAATTCTTTGCACCTCAAAATGTTTCCCAGGTCAATCACGCACGACCATACACGGCCGTACACAACCAATTACGTCGGAAAACGGTTGGCGTTTCCAAGTGGACGTTTACAACAACAGCAAACGATGTCATACAGCACCTTACGGTCAACGTATGTGATGACCATGGAAGTCAACCGTAAACGGTTGGCGTCACCATACGCTGGTCATACACGCTCCATGTGAAACAACGTAAGACACCGTATACGTCAGCAGTTTACGGTACTGCAACCCGCCAACAGTTTACGGCACTTTACGCCCGATTACGATGATCGGAAATAATGACTCAGAACAGTGGACGTTCACGATCACCGTATCAATACGGAGACCGTAAACAGGCACACCATAAACCACTGCAATGTATCGTACACGGTGGATGTTACTGAATGCCGTATCCAGCAATAGGCAACAACTGTATACAAGATAATACATGTATCGCCAAAAGGCATAATCAAAACAGTGGTTTTTCTGCTAACTAGCCAAAAAGGAACGTGCTTTGGCAGCTGCTCAATAAGTTAGAACTCACAAATTACATAATCGAACAGCACATCACAGTTACACAAAAACCCAGAGAGTCCGACAAAAGGAACCTTCACAACATCCATACCGATCCTTCGGATGGACTAAGACATGATGCCAACATAACCGCAAAAAAACAGAAAGATCCACTGCGGCAACGTTTTTACTCAACTCCATTCCACCGATTGAATCCCCGAATTCTATATCTCGTTAACCCTTTCAGGCCCATGGCTCAGCCAATGGATGAAATCTCTTCGAGACTTTATATTTAATATAGGCAGTGTGTGTTGTCGATATTTTCATCAAAAATTTTTAAAAACCTTTTAAAGTTATTTTCGACCCATTTCCGTACCCCCCTACGGGAATGGCGAAGAAGAATTTTGGCCATCCCCATGTGGGGTACGGGCGTAGATCGAAATTTGATTGAGATCTGTCGCAAAATCAACTTTTGGAATATCACTAGGGGTCACTCCTAACTTGATTCCAGCACGAAAACCTGAGACATATTCGGGATCGCAAAAGAGCCTGGTTCGCCCTTCTAGACATGTCCCAACACCGAAACTTTTGGGATTTGGGTTTTGGGTAGTTTGAGACTTTGGGTCAGGCTTTTGGCTTGATAAGTCAGGTCACACCAAAACGTGACCAAAAACGTCAAACCACCCAAAATCCA